TGCTGCAATGCCTGATTCTGATACCGAAAAATATCTTCAGAGTCCACCTGAAGTCTTGAAAACATTCGGATTTCAGTTTCCCTTTCTGCCTCTGTTAAATTTGAGCACAATAAACTAAAGAGACTCAGGGTCCTCTTGCCCAATTAAAGTTAAGAAGGAGGTATTTGACACAATTGCAATCGACGTGAAGGATCAGGAGGAAGGGCTTCATAATATAAACTTGATATGATGGCACATGGATAACTCGCTATTGGTGATCATGACAACATTCCTGCAAGCGCATTGTCTAGCTCATTGTATCGAGGCAGTCCCACACCAACCTGGTGCCACCTGGTGTTCAGGCAACCCACAGTCGATTCTATCTATCACTCCTCAATAGCTGGGTGGTTGCAGATCATGATGCAATGCTGTGTCTTGCTTCTGTATTCGCAAAACTTGAGGGAGGCGTTAGCAATGAGGCCAAAAGCTCACAAAGGCCGCCACAAAGAGGGGTATTAACGGCGCAAGAGGGCAAAGTAAGCACTTCTAGCCACCTCAGTCTTACAACAAATGACTAGGTCCTGATCCAGCGAAGTGCACAGATTGAAGATTTTGAATGCACAATATCTTGGATGAATCTCACCAAAAAATTGGCAAACAAATTCCTTGAAGACGATGCCGGAAAACAATGAAACGCAGAGGGACAATCAGCCGCAATTCAGAACCAGCGCTGCCAGATCCAATGCATGTTGACGTGGCCCTCAACAAAGACAAGGGCACGTTTATATCCTTGGGTTCCTTGGAAAGCGTCATGGCCCCCATGTTGACTTGGAAGCAGCCAATTGCTGGTCCCAGCCGTAAATGCTGCCCCTTTGCGAGTTTGGTCGTTCGACTTGCCCTTCCGTTTCGTTGGCAGCTCTGTGGCTTCAGCAGTTGCTGGACCCTAAATCCCCAAACCAAACCAAGCAGCACCAAGAAGATTGCATTTTTAGCAAACGGTAGCGTCAGCGCATGGCCTCATTCGCGTGCGTGGTATGTTCGACACAGTCCAGCTGCCAGGCCTGTGGAAGCGTCACTGCAACGACGTTCCAACACGGGCGCGCGTCAGGGCCACGTGCCTGTCCGTCAGCCCCGCGTGGCCCCACCCCACAACTTTATTCACCGCGCCCTCCGGCCCGCGCAACGCGGTTGAGCGCCAGGCCCCTCCTTCCCGCCCCGCAGCGGCGCGAGCTGCCCGCCATGCCGCGCCCCCTGCTGCTGCTGTCGTGGCTGGCTCGCCTGCCCAAGGCGCCGCTGTCGGCGGCCCTCAGGCAGGGGCTGCCCAAGCAGAATGCCGCTTGGCCCTCGGGGACGCATTCGGCGGATGTCAAGGATGCGGGGTGGCTGTGGCTCGCGGCGGGCTCGTTGCGCGGCGAAAGCGGGAGCCGGAGGCCGTTTTTCTGCGGATCTTATTCCGCCTCGTCGGTCATCCAATTCCCGCTTCCCCAGACCGGCGAAGGCATTGCCGAGTGTGAGGTGCTGAAGTGGTATGTGAAGGTGAGGGGACGGGAGGCTGCCTTGACGAGCGGGTGCCGCATGCCGTCGATGAGAGTGCTCGCTTGCTGTGTGCACTCCTCGATGCTTGGTGCTGGATGTTCGGAATCGTTTCGAGGATCTCCGTATTGACGGCACGGCGACCGTTTTGTGGATCCCGTACTAAGGAGTGGTCTCGGCCACAGAACACCGTCAGTGTGAGAAACGCCTGCAACTGACCTGCTGACGAGAATAGGGGAGCTTTCCCGGCTGGCTTTCGCGGCCATGCAATAGTTATCGACTCGCAATGGGCGATGGTTACTGAGCTGTTGTGCGCAGGAGGGCGGCGCTGTTGAGAAGTTCGGCATGCTATGCGAGGTCCAGAGCGACAAAGCTACGATTCAGATAACTAGTCCTCACGACGGTAGAATCCTGAAAGTCCACCATCAGGAAGGAGACGTTGTTAAGGTACGAGACTGACGGTCGTCAGAAATAGTGCCTCGTGTAGGAATTGCATGTGGTGTCCAATGTAGAGTCCGCATAATGGGTTTTGCAAAGAGTTTAGTGCTTCATGCGAGTACCACGGGTCGTCAGAATCTGTCAGATCAACGGCCAAATTAAGCAAACGGAAGTGCTGTGCAGTCATTTGAATATATATCCATGCACTCCCATCAAGGTGCAAGTGAGCCAGGCTCCTACGGAGACTGCTACAGTTACGTGGTGCGGCCCACAACTCCACGCACTGCGCGATTGGTGGGAGACCTCAGGGCATTTCAGCGCTTCGCCTATGCAACACTTTCTGTTCCAATCCAGCCTCCATGCCAGCCGACAGAACAGCTTTCAAACGTTTCATGCACAGACCTGAACTCACCTAAGCAAATGCCCTCTCCAGTGTGCGCTTTTGCTGGGGTTCACGTGGAGACTGTAGTTGATAAGCGCCTGAGTGCAGTTGCACGATCGGTGTGCACATGTGCAGCATCAACAACTGGCGACGCCTTCGTTGTGAGCAGTCCAGAAAATCTGATCATACCGTTTGCAATCAACCACAAGGCGCTGGGACTCCATCTTGTGGACCTCAGCTGTGTTTGAAAGTACTGTGGCGTTTGCTCATGAGCGAGACGAGGAGCAGCGGAGGTAGCATGCCTTCACATGCTCTTTGCGCAATATTGGATACCACTTGTTGAGGTTGATGTACTGGGGGGATTCGCTAACACATTGTCACTGCACTTGTGCTGCAAGGTTGGGAATACACTTGTGGACATTGAGGTTGATGGGACAGAGGTCACTGCAACACAGAGCCTGACGAAGGTGCAATGGGATCACCAATACCATTTTTCTCTGAAGCAGCCATATTCAGCTATTTCAAAGCATTCCTGCTGCCATTCCTGCCAAATTTCAAAGTATGATTGTGTTGTGGTTGCTCTGGTGTTCGCGTTTTGAAAATGCGAATGCAAATCCAAGCAGCCAATCTGCAAAACTGCACGATCACAGCGCAGGAAGATTTCCACACATGCAACAGCATTTTGCTCGTATGCAGATGCCACATCCTGCACACTTGCTCTCAGTGGCACCAGTTTCTCAAGATGTGCAGATCTGCAGGACGCTCATCAGGACAGTGAAGAAGAGGGCAGGTCCCAAAGCAACACCCCAACACCTAAAGATCGGGCCCCAGTTCATTCAACCCCCGCCGTAAGGCATCTGGCAAAGACGGAGGGTGTGGACATCTCTGAAGTGACGCCTACTGGCCCCAAGGGCAGGGTAATTAAGGAAGACGTCTTGAGGCACATCCAATCGCGCAAGGGTGGTGCGGCAACAGAACCACCAACTGCGGCCATAGAGCACCCAGGTGTGCATTAGTGTTGCAAACCAGGTACCCGGGCCAGGTACAGTAATGCCCTGTGCCTGTCCGCTGTGTACCTGACAACCCTTGTACCCAGGTAGCCAGGATTGACTACATAACCATGCACGACATAATATTAATCCAACAGCCAAATTCAGCAGATGGTCATCACCGTTTCCAGCAGATTAGATCCACTGGCGTTGCAAGGGTCGTTGATCCAAGGTCCTGGGGGGGGGGGGGATTTATATGCCATGGGCACCCTCACGGAGCTGCAACAGCATACCGTAGGAGCTGTCACGGCAAGGGTATCTGGTACCCAGAGCCGGGCACTGGCACTACCAGGGTGTTTCAGATAGCCCAGGTATTCGCGATTATCCTGACGGTGGTGATAACCCAGGTAATCGGGCTTACTGAGATATCAGGTTCTCATTGGTACACGGGTAATCGGGATAACCTGGGTGAACGCTGGTACCCATGTAAATTGGGTGCCCAGCTTTCTCAGAGGCGGATACCCAGGTAGGATTCTGAAAGCGTAGACCCAAAACTAGCGTGCATGTGATGGAGCACTGCCCTAAGATGTCACAGCCTATGTTCACAATTGTTGATGGCACATTCTGCTTCAGGTTGTGTGCGTGGTGTGAATGCGCTGCTCGCTTTTATTGACAACAGGAGGGATAGCATTGTAGAACCACATGCTAAATTCCGTCATTGGCCATCAATGTATCGATCCAGCACTAGCCCCTGGCTTGAGGTCTTCCTTTAAAAAATGAATCAGATAATTGACAAGAGTGCCAGACTGTCCAATGTGCTGGCACTCTATGGTCGCGACGCAGAAGCCATATAGTGCTGCTGGGAGCCCAACGGATTCATAATTCTGTAGATTGCATTTGCAGTGAGTACATGACAAATCCCGGCCCTTGTATCAATGACTGCATCCAACAAGTGTGGTGGCAACGCGATGGTGGACTGAACACTGTGATGGCATGCAGATCCGTCAGCCAGCGAGCACGATTTGGACGCTCCGATCTGCAAGCCCATTCTGGGCTACCATCGAGCCATGGTGAAGAGCATGACCCAGGCGGCCACCATCCCACACTTGCACTTCTGCGAAGAGATTAACGTAAACGCCCTGGTGGACATAAAGAAGAAGCTGATCAACAGCGCCGATATTGAGGGTGTCAAACTCACTTACCTCCCTTTCATCCTGAAAACGCTCTCCACGGCCGCCCACAAATTCCCATCTCTGAACGCTAGCCTCAGCAGCGACCTCACGCAAATGATCCTGCACAGGAGGCACAATTTTGGCGTCGCCATGGCCACGCCAGTGGGGCTGGTGGTCCCCGTTGTGAAAGACATACAAAGCAAGAACATCGTGAGCATTGCGCTAGAACTTCAACGGCTCCAGAAGCTTGCCGTGGAGGGCAAACTGACGATCACCGACATTTCGGAAGCCACCCTGTCAATTTCTAACATTGGGCCCATTGGGGGTACATATGCCGCTCCACTAGTCACCCCTCCACAGGTTGCGATTGTTGCCTTGGGCCAAATCAGGAAACTGCCAAGGTTCGACTCGAAAGGGGATGTAGTTCGTCATTCCGTGATGCCTGTGAGCTGGGGAGCTGACCACCGGGCGGTGGATGGAGCCACTGTCGCTGAATTTTGTATGGAGTGGAAGCGGTGCCTTGAGGAGCCAGAGAGGCTCCTGCTGCACCTCAGGTAGACAGAACGGGTAGATCAAGGGACTTGAGGGCGAAGTGGCGGTGAGAGTGGGTGTTTCTGAGTGGCACAGGCGTGCGGGCAGGTGTAAAGTAAGGTCCACAGTCCGAGAAGATGAAGAACAATAATGTGTAATGGATGCCTTCCGGACAAGCATGCTGGCCAGGTTTGGCGGCGGCACGCCCATGGCTTTAATGCCCCGCACGTAGTGCGGCGGAGCAAAAGCAATGCAAGTAGTTATTGTGTCCCATGCCCTGACTTCCGAGGGGCACCCTTGTGCTGTCTCGGTGACGAAACGGCAACGTGCAAGTCGAGCTATGCCGCCCCACTTATCGCTGCACCAGCACTAGGTTGCAGGTAATTGTCCGGGCGCCAACTATCCGGAGGCCCACAGCCCGACGTTAGAAATCTGGTGTGTAGAGAGAGGGAACCGTTTTCATCCGTTTGCACCGCAGCAGGACGAAGATATCCCCAGCAAATTATCCAAATGCGATCGCCGCGAGCCCCAGAATCATACGCAATTCCAAAGATTCGTTGTCGGTCCTCATGCTGAAGCAAGCAAATCAAGAGGGAATGTGCTGATGCCTTCATAGCGCGCTGGGCCGCTGGCGCCCTAAAACTGCGCTGGCCGCTTGCCTCTCTGTCACAGAGGCACCACAGTGGTGCAATGGAAGTGATTTTTGCTTGCCAGGCGTGGAGATGGGCTCGATTTTTCGATGGTCGCCCTGGGAAGAATCAGCTGGCTTTCGTTGGTGGCCAGGGGCTGCGGCCCGCTATGGGAGGCGCAAGATGACCTTTGCGCCGGGGGCGAGACCGGGATGATTTATGGTCCATAGCTCCCTCGACTACGGCAGCTGGTGGCGGTGGACATCTTCAGGAGGCGTGTGGAGTACATTGCACATCGTTTTATCTCCCTCCCTCCCGCCCACCAATTAAAATATCCTTGTTGACGCGGGAGATAGAAGAGTAACGTAGTTAATGAATTTCTGGATAGGGAGGCGTGGGTGGGAGTCGAGAACGTGTCAGCAGCCTAGTCGGGGCACCACAGGGGTGGTTGCCCTTGGCCGTCGCACGGACGTCAATGCCCAAGGGCGGCGAGCCATAGCTGGTTGCATGTCGGTATTCGAGCATGGTTTTAAAGGGAGCCACAGCCCGCCGATCACGTGATAGTTTGGGCATGTTATGGCGGTAGGCGGGTGCTGCCTATATTAGGCTAGCGCCCTCTGAACGCCTCCATCCTGTTTTGCTCTCCCTCCGGCCCATCCCTGGGAGTGTGATTTCGGTTGGAAGACGGAATCTTTGAATTGCAAGGTACTGGGGAAAGTGTTATGAATTGGTTCGCGAAGCAAGGGCAAGTTTTATGGTCGACGGTCATTGGGCTTTGCTTGGGTGATGGACACCTGCTGGATATGTTGCAACGTACTTGGCCAGTGTTGGACTCGGGCGGAAGTTTATACCACCAGGCAGAAATGGAATGTACATTTCTCTTCCATTTTCTGTGGCCGAAAAGGCAGATCATTTTTTGGGAACGCGCCCGTGATGAAGATTCAATAGTCATGGGACATGTGGACATTGGATTCCGAAATGGATGTCAACGTAGCTTCCTGTCTGGATGGAGAATGGATCTGTAGCGGCATCTGCAGCGACCGCCTTGGGTGGGAAAATCGCAGGTCATAGACCGGTTCTATTCTCAATGTGCACCAGTTCAACCCGGTCGATGCAAAACAAAATAGTGGCTTCCATGGGGCTCCGCATTCAGCCCCAGCCAGCCGCTTGAGCAAGCAGAGGATTAGGAGAAGACCGGCCCACTGCCCCCCGCCTCACGTGAAGGACCACGCGTTGACAACGCGTACACTGTGTCCAGGACGCTAAAGTGCGCCCAAAGTACAGGCGATATCATTTTTCACAGTGCCCTGGACCGTTATCTGGAGAGGTGCGCCCGGAGACCACCCCCTAAATCCCCGCAGGTGCTCAATAACCTCTTCTCGAAGTCCGGGCAGCTCCCCCGGCCAGCCCCGCTCCCGTCGGCCCTCGTCACGAACACCCCATCGCGTGGGAGGAGGCAAACGCCGAGTGGGCAGCCACTCCCAGGCAGCGATCGCGGGACAAAAATGGCCGCATCCAACGCGGGGCCCCTGCCCCGCCGCATCGTGAAGGAGACGCAGCGGCTGCTGAGCGAGCCGGCGCCCGGAATCAGCGCCTCGCCCTCTGAGGAGAACCTCCGCTACTTCTCCGTGATGATCCTGGGCCCGTCGCAGTCCCCCTACGACGGCGGCGTCTTCAAGCTCGAGCTCTTCTTGCCCGAGGACTACCCCATGGCCGCGCCCAAGGTGCGGTTCCTTACGCGCATCTACCACCCCAACATCGACCGGCTGGGGCGCATCTGCCTGGACATCCTCAAGGACAAGTGGAGCCCGGCGCTGCAGATCCGCACGGTGCTGCTGAGCATCCAGGCGCTGCTGTCCGCGCCCAACCCGGACGACCCGCTGGCGGAGGACGTTGCCAGGCACTGGAAGGACAACGAGAGCGACGCCATCACGGTGGCCAGGGACTGGACCAGGATGTATGCCGCCAGCTGATGGGGGCGGCGGGGGGGTGGGGAGGGAGTCTGTGGGCTGGGAGCGGGCGTAGGTGTGCCGGGGATGGGGGGGTTGGGGGGATGGGTGGGGCTGGACAGCGGCGGGAGGTCGGATATTGAGGCGGCATCGGAAGAGGAATCTGTCTGGGAGCGAGGCCGAGGGAGGAAATGGTGGGTCAGTGCCTGGCATGAGCCCAGGGGGCCGGGAGCCGCCCAAGGCGGGCTCTGGAGTTGCTTGCGGCCACCAGAAGGTCGACTTGCTCGAGAGACTATCTGCCGACCATTCTGCTCTGCACTGTTGCGCAAGCATTGCGATAGCGGATAGGATCATATCCTGCTGTGATCGCGCTGTGGCTCCCTTTGTTTGCACGAGGTTTTGAGTGTCAAAGGTTGGGACCCACCCCTGGGCCCTGCAAGCATGTGTGTCCTTAGGGAAGCCAGGAGAATTGGATTCGTCTATCCAGGATTCTTAATCTTTATCCGGGTGTTAGTGGGAGGTGTGCTGAGGGGCTGTTTGTCTATGTGTGGAAGCATGGTTAGTCCAGCTGTGTGCCAGAGTCATACTCTGCTGCCTGTACTCGAACTTTCATTGGAGGGTAATTTTTAACATTTTGTTCCTTACAAGTGCGAACTTTTTTCTTGTGGCGTTCTCCACAAAAGGCAGAACGGCACATGGAACCCCAAAAGTCTGTCAATCGTGCAGGCCTGTGTTTCGACTGCTGAATACCACTGTCAGCATTGTGTAAGCCAGCCGATTCCCTGTTTTTCAGTTGCTACTATTACTGCCTATGTCAAGGTTAGGTGCCAAGCACAGTCCCATCTTGGTAAGGGTCCACATTTGCTATCGCATGTGGCTCTTGGACGTGCCCATCTTACCATCCACACAGGCTGTGGTGTGCGATGTGCGCCAAGAGGACTATGCCCCTGTTCGCGACCTCAGCATTCGAACAACCAACTGAGGACAAAAATGATCAGCTCTGGAACCACTGGCAGCAGTCACGTCAGGTAAACACGAAATGAAACTTGCTGCCGCCGAAAATGAATGCGACATCGAGCAACACTGAGTCGGTTCTGTGTCCATAACAACCCGAACTAGGACAAGTCTGCAACACCTCAAAAGAGGTGTGACACATTGCAAGTGTGCATATTCGGTGTCTACTGCAACGGTTGTACATCGCACAGGAGCAGATGGGCTATTGGTTGGAGACGCTGTGGGTCGGCACCCAGTCGTATGTGCTATCTGGGCGCAGGACTGACCCTCGAGTTGTGGACACTGACCCACGATGCTCACGGCTTCTACGGAAGTCGGAACGTTTGCGTGTTGCCCTCGGCGACCTGATTCCCTCGAACACCAAAGTTGACGACTGATAGCCTGTGCGCTCGGCACATGCCGGCACCTTGTCGGAAATGAACGCGGCATCGACCAGTACAGAGTTGGGTCTGTGTAGCTGCAACAACTTGAACCAGGACAGGTCCGCCACATCTCAAGAGGTGAGACACGTGGCAAGCAAGGCGCATCAACATGCAGCAAAATCGCCACACGGCCTCTGCCATTCTCGCCACAACTCCAAGGACGGTGGCCGTTGATGGGGAGTGCGTCCGCCCAGCTCCCAGGCCCGCTCCCAAGAATGGCGTGACTACCGCTACTTCCGTGTGACTACCGCTACTTCCGGGAATGACGTTAGGGTGGTCGGCCGGGGAGATTAGTGACGTAAGGTTGCGGACCACAGGCGCCGCAACATTGGCCTTTTCAGCTGTGGGCGGGAGCGGCCCGGCACCAGCAAGCGCGTCGGGTCCCGTCCAAAGCGGTGGGGGCCAGGAAAATCGGCAGTCCAAGCGCCGCTGTTAGATGCTTCCGCAACTGCTGATTGCACCGATCGGTGTGTTCGCGGTGCTGAGGAAAAAGTCCGTTCTGGTGCTGGTGGCTGCCGTCGTGATAGCTCTGGTGTCCGGTCAGGGGGAGAGCTTCCGCACAGTGGGGGGCCAGGCAGGTGAGCGGAACCTTCCAATGCTCCCAAGTTGTCCGTTGCACCATGTTGTTTGTTCAACTGCCTTCCGCACCGCAGGGGCTAATTTGACGTTTCCAGGTCATCGAACGGTTCTTATTGCTCTAATCACTCTTCGTTGAATTTCGACTTCGCCGAAGGCCAGAGTTTCTACTCCTGCGCAGCAGCAAGCCACGATGTTGCAGGAGTGAAAAATTTGCAGATTGGCAATGTGTGTTGCGGCCTGTTTTGTCAATCACGCATGGACCACAGCATATTACATGCTCTATGTTATATGCACTATAATAGTGCAATGATGTATTGTAACATATGTGCCAACATACACAGGCAACCGGGCGGTCGTCACTGATTGTGAACATATTTTCCCATACTTGTCTAAACGCGGCAAAGCGAAGTGCTTTCAAGAGTCGGGTCATTGGC